ATTGGCGGCATGCTGTGTCCAGCGCGACCCCTGCGCGTTTGAAGCATGCAGCTTGCCGCCGCCATACAAAATATATGGAGGGCTGTAACTAGGCGAGGAAGAGGGGGTTAGGGAGATTCAAAAACTCAGTTGCAGGATTTTTGGTGCAGAAATAGATTATGTTAAAATGTGAGAAAATTATGTGAAGGAAAGAAAATATATGACTTTTTCTTTTCATAGCCACCTCAGGTGGCTGTCTAAGTGGCTGAGCCACCTAACTCCGAAAAAAGTTTGCCACACCTTCAGTTCACATAACTTCTTCATAATTTTTCGCGCATAGTCCTAACTCCGTATTTCCCATCTACAGACCAATTTTGGGATCATTTCATTTCCTCTTCGCTGTAAACAAGTCTTTTGTTTATTTCGGGGCAGGTTTGAATTCGCGCGCTTAACCGGCGAGCATGCTGAAAAAAATTTTGGTTTTTGCAGATCAATAAGGCAGGAATGACAATTTGCGTCTTCTATAGGAGATGCGTGACATGAAGGCAGAAGGCGATTGTGTGCGTGGGGGGAGGCTGGGGTTTCCGCTTCAACGATATCCCCTTGCTTTTTATTCCGAAACGCTATTTAGCTTGCCCTGTGAGCCACCTGTGACGAGCCCTGTCTGCGGAGCGTGCGGACTGTCAAATAGAAATGCCAACAGACGCTCAGCTTCCTATAAGAGATTTTCTCTGGAGTGGCGGTGGTATCCGAAAAGTCTGAGGGAGCATTAGCAAATGAGATATGCTTCAGCTTTACAAAATGTAGCTACGAACGTTTTAAAAACTTGTTTGTAACTTTTCGGAGGTCCTTGTAGCTATAATGGTTCTCTGATCTATGTTGTCTTTGTGATGTTATCGCCATGGCTCCTACATGTAGCAGCTTTACAGTAAATCTTCCCTATTCAAATAAATCTCATCTTATAATTAGAAAAAAATGCTGAAGACTTTTATGTAGTGCAAGCCTTTGGCTACATTGCAACACTTCCATATTACAAGGTCACGTCTATCAAGTCTGTTATAATTATTTATTTCAAAAGGACCGCGACTTTGTCGCGTTTAGCCCGTAAGAGTACCGAAAATTCCAGAAAGCTGATTGCTTCAAATCGGACTTGATTATGTTGCACAACTAATGGTTAATAACAACCAAATTTTAACTCGCAGAATCGACTTTACCAAAAATCGATCTTTAGAGAAATAATTTTTTGAAGCTGGAAACAGCAGATCAGGAAAATCCAAAAACATTGCCGTATAGTCCAAGATTTGTTTTATTTGCGGCATATTCACTCGTTTTCAGAACTTCGGATTAAAATTTTTGAAATCGGCAAAAGTAATTGTAAGAAAGACGAGGAAAAGCTGCATTGGATATATGTTGAAAACCGATGAGTCTTTTTTTGTGGTTTCATCGTTTGAAAAAGCCGAGAAAACTTTCGGAAAAACCTAATAATCTCCATCACCGCTCACAAGAAACTTTTAACACTCAACAAAGGGACTGGGTTCGCATGTAGCCCATAGCGATTTGCGCCAAGCTTGGGTTCACAAATCCAATTCTCGAACGCACAGGAACTGGGCAACTTATTTGGTGAAAACTGGTATGCTCGACTTTTTGGTTAGCGGACTCAGTGAGTTCGTTCGTAAAACCGGCTAAGTGGCTTTTTGTGGATTCCGGAACCCACTTGGTAATTCATTGATGGATACAGCCACAGAAATGGGCATACAGGTTATCCACGCCTAGAAAGGTAAATGCTTAGTTCTAGTGTTGGTTCGATATTACCACTATATGCTTCCCGTTTTTTGCTGCTGACATCGGCTGCTCACTATCATCCAGCGAACAGTGATACAGCGTAGTGGTACCACCTTCAATTACGTAACTGGCTATGGAAGCTTTGCTCATTGCATCCGGCCTCAGCTGCATAGCAGCGCAGGGAAGTTGAACGGAGCGTTGACCATTGAAGTACAAGTGAGTGAGTGCATTGAAGTCGTTGGTTGGTCACTGGCTCCAAGTGGCCCGGAGAATGCTAGGCTGCGCCCTCTTCGCCTCAAATACAATCTTTAAACATCCACAGGGTGTCCCAAAAGTAAGTACACACTTTTCAATCGTTGATATCTCTCTTCCTATTAGGTTTTCTCCAACATCCGGGTAGCATTCTTTAGAGGAGGCTCCAACTTAGATTTACAGTATCGAGCTAATCACCGGTCGTTCTTCATTTCTGTAAGATCACTGTGGAATTCGACAAGGATTTTAGGCCATTAGAGGCCATATATTGCTTCGAAACAAAACCAAACAAGCCAAAAGCTTTACACTACGGTAATGGAAGCCTCTGATTTCGAATTTGAAATTTCCACTTCAGCTGTGATGCTTCTTTTCAAAGTTATCCCAGGTAAACCGTAATAATCGAAGTCCCAGATTTGTCAGAAATGTGATCACACCGTCAAAAAAGCTGGAAACACTCATAAAAAGTTTTGTAGTGGAATCAGGGTGCGCGAAACCCTAGCATACGATTTTTCAAATCTTTGAAAAAAAAGTTTTCGTCAAATGGCATATACCGCAATGGTTCCATGTGCTGGAAGTTCTTACTTATATCCCATGAAGAGAGATCGATGATTTGCTTGCTACTGTAAACCTAAGTTGAAGCCTTCTCTGAAGAATGTACTTGAATTGCGGAAAAAGACCCAATGGGAAGAGAGATATCAACGATTGAAAAATGTGTACCTACTTTTGGGACACCCTGTATAGTCGCCAACAGAACCATAGAGATGTGTAAAAGAACGTCTCCGTAATTGTAAGCCTTCTAGATTTCATATCCTCGCACAAGCCTTCCTTTATGGACTGCTCTTCTTCCAATTGATCGCAGGTCTATCTTCTTATGTTCTTCAGCATCGTCTCTGCTTCAGTGATACTGCACAAAAATAAAGCGAAGTCATCCGGAGCGATGTCATCAAGCGAAAGTTGATATCTCCCACAAACTTGTGTATTTTGCATAGAGAAGCCTAGTACACAGCATGCAAAGATCGGCAAATGACGAATATCTAAGATTCTGAAATCACACGACAGTAAAGAAGAATTGGACGACGATCGGAGTATAAGTTGAGTTTTACGATTTTTTCAAAATATTAGGTTGAACCGAAAGTTCTGTCGTTTCATTTTCAAAAATTTGTAACTTCGCGAGATTCCAGCGGACTTGCTTGCTTGTAATTTTATTAAAAAGAATAAGTCTTTTGCTTTCAAACGCTGTTCCGTGGAGCTTCTGTTTCATACTGGGTGCGGAGATAAAAATAGAAAACTAAGACCATATAAGCTTCGACCATTTTAAGTTAGGTCACCAAAAATCTGGCATGCTGCAGAAAAATCTGAAATCGTCAGTACATGTTTTTTGGCCTACCCTTTGCACCTGTGAAAAGTTTGTGCTGTTTAGACGTCTCTGTGAGAAGTTATGATTTTCGCGAAAACTGACAAATTAATTAATTTTGGCGTTTTCCATAGTAAACTCGATATTCATAACTTTTCACAGAAACGTCCAAACAACACAAACTCTTCACAATTGCAAAGAGTAGTCCAAAAAACGTATGTACTGACGATTTCAGATTTTTCTGCAGCATTCCAGATTTTTGGTGACCTAACTTAAAATGGTCGAAGCTTATATGGTCTTAGTTTTCTATTTTTATCTCCGCGCCCAGTATGAAACAGAAGCTCCACGGAAGAGCGTTTGAAATCGAAAGACTTATTCTTTTTAATAAAATTACAAGCAAGCAAATCCGTTGAAATCTCGCGAAGTTACAAATTTTTGAAAATGAAACGACAGAACTTTCGGTTCAACCTAATAATTTCTTTGAAAAATAAAACTAGACCCTCTCTCCTTACTGAAGAGTCCCGGAAAGGGTCTAGATCTTAAAACTCCGTCTAAGGAAAGGGACGAAACGGAGTAACAAAACGAAAAACTATTTTTCTTATTATCTAAATGTGAATAAAAAAGCCTTAAAAAGTAGCAAAATCAAAATTTTTAGAATAAATTTCCAAAAAAGCTCACCAATCTTTGCGGAGATAATGCATTACGCATTTATCACAAAATTATTACTTGAACAATTTCGCTGCGCATTTTGATCGCTCTGAACATTTCATAACTAAAACTGGATCCAAATTAGACAGCTATAACGCAGCAATAAAGCCGAATGAAATCACAGAATACCCGAAAAAATGGAATACAATGTCAGAAAAAATGGTGGGCTATGGTGGATTTGCGGTAATGAGCTTTTGCGTTTTAACTATAGGTTTTCACGTACCCTAACAGATTCACTTCGTTAAGTGAATGAAATCATAGAAATTTCGCTTTAACTCTAATCAGGATTCGTTATAGAGTGTACCGTAATGATTTACCCTTATGCTCTAATTGGTGTTTTTTTGGGATAAGGTTTTGATACAAAAAGAGGAGAGCGGGTGACAGGAAGCAGTCCAAAACAATGTTGTGCATTGCTTGTATTGCAGTACTTTCTGTAAGTTGTTCACATATCTTGCTAAAATCGTTTAAACAAGTGCAACCTCAAAGGCACCGTCCAAACTAAGTTGAGGATACTGAGCCTTTGGCAGCGTATGATAGTAGGGCTCCCTATCAAGCCAATGGCCAAGTCGAGGTGCGATGCCGCTTAGGAAGCGGGAAAACCGCTTCAAATAACTAGGATGCAAGAGGACCCTCAGACGGCACCTATCTCCTCATCCATGCCCGCCCACCCGTGTGCACATCCAATCACCGTTTTGGAAAGACGGCTTGTGGTTACTCCGGAACGGAGATTGTCGGGGGTTTCACGGATTCTCGGTTCATATTCGGAATCAGGGACATGAAAAGGCCATGAAACGGCAAAAATCTGGAATTCGAGAATTTGGATGGACGGTGCCTTTAACACCGCAAATCTCCACTGTTTTATTGTCACTCTCAGCTATTACCTACCGTCACCTATGCGCATACGCTATGTAAAGATAGTGAAAAAATGAAGGATCATCAGGTGAACAAATTTTTGGACATGCACAACGCTAGAAGGTGTGAAGACTGTTTTGGTCACTGAACGGCAATCATTTGACTACTTTTTTTTAGGTTATCGTTAGCAAAAGGAGAGGTCATAAAGGGCAATAAGAACTATATGCCACAGGGTGCTAATATTCAAAAGCTGGTAATCTTTTTTTCATATCTTTACTTCTTTACAGTTTTTTGACTTCACCTTGAGAACCATCGTGAAATAGGCACAGCTCAAACAATAATTAGCTTACGTAAGCTGAAACCACTTCAGTCATATAATTGCTCCTTGGAAGAAGCCGCTATTGCTCGGGCAGAAGATTGTTTCAAAACGGAAACTGAACTCGATCCCGACGTTGGCGAAAATACTGCACAAGTCACTTTATCATCCGCCCCTGATAAACTGACGGCCATTCATAATGTAAGATATCGTCTCAGAGGTAGATTGACACCTCGGAAAGCATTCTAGGGTGTAACATCATGGTGGAAGCAATCCAGAACTGGACCGAACATTGGCAATCAAGTTTATTACAGAACCATACACACTCCATCTGCTAATTTTGCTACGGTATATTTTGCTCATTTTTTGTGATTCTGCTGACTAAACATCTTTCTAGAAAACTGGTACTGTTGAGATGACGGTCATACCTCGCTCGATTTCGCTTACTGCACATTTTCTGTTGCTAAGATTGCTCTAAAGCCTACTATCGAACAAAAAAAGTGAAAGCAGTTTTAGCTGAGCAGGCGCGAACGCGACGCGAACGTATTGCCACCGATGTAAACCTGCACGTCCTACGCTTCGCGGTTAAGATCGCGCCTCTGGTTTGCGCTTTCGTCCGGCAGTAGCCTTTGATTCTTAGTACGAATTTACATAAGCAGCATCTTCCATATTTGCACCAGCCTGCAAAGCCATGCGTTTGTATTTAAAATTTTTGCGTCGATGATTTTAAGACATGGAGAACTACCAATACGCGTGGCAAGCGCTAGCGGAATCGCTAGAGGTATAGCCGACCTCAAAGGACGACGAACACATTCACAAAACTTTTTAATTTTAGATGGCCTGGGCTACAACATCAGAGATTGGATGTGCCGTAAACAAATGCAGTAATTTCTACGCTGTTGTATGTCAATATGCTCCAAGGTCAATTCAGCTATAACGTATTAATAGAACCACGTTGTAGGAATTTTGAAAAGTGTTCAATGCCTACAAGATAGTGAAAAAGATAACATATTTGAATGATATTCTTGCAGCGAGGTGGAAATTGAGCAACAAATTTACAAACCAGGAACGCCTTGCACCTCTTGCCCAAGTGAATTTCCGACATGTGTAGATGGAGCGCTATGTGGGCCATGACCATTCGCGAAGTATTTTTTGTATGACGACTAATACACATGAAGATTTTTTGATGTTCTTACTGTTTGTTTGATTTAGAGGAAATTATGAACAAAGGGAAAGAATAATTGTTCTCGTATGGCTTTTATTCTTGCAGAGAAATTTCATACAAAGAATGTAGGCTCTACTGCTCTTTCCTCTCCTGTTATCATTCACATGCCTACACGAAAACAAATCGTTGCATTCAAGATGTAACAACGATCCTTATCTGAGTTCAAAGGAGTTGTCGGCAAAACTCCCTGCGTCCAAGAGTCCTCCCGTTAGGAACACAGTGACTGATGCATGGTTTGTGACAGATGTCCGCACTTGCGAAGCCCGTTTACGACTATGTCGTCTACCCAAAACGTACAGTGGAGTGGGAGTTAATTACCTCTACAATCGAAACTGCATTTTTAGCTAAGGAATAATAATGTTTGGTACAGCATGAGGAAAAGTTACCGATTTGCGATTTGTTTTACCTGCGCCAAATAATGATCATCTCGTACTCTTCCAGAATCAGTGCCCGGCACAATTGCAAAGGACATGCTGGACACTGTTTTGGACAAAAAGCGAAGATGATATGTATATTTTTGTAGGGGCCTTGGTTTAAAAAAACACGTTATGAAATGGCCGTGTCGAATATTTTTTGTGCTTTTCGCATTATAATCTTATTCGCTCTATATTTTGACTTTTATAAATAGTCTGAATGGTGGAAACAATCTTGCTCTAAGCGCGCGCTGATGCTCGCCGTACACAAAAAGTTGTCTGGGGAAGGAGTGGAGAGCGGAATCAACACAAAGATGAAATTTTACAAGAAAAAGAAACTTGCTGCACATCTGTATATAGTACGAGCGGGCATCCCGGGTTTCACTCCGGTTTGGAGCCAATCTATCAGTCTAAACTCCCCATCCTGCACACCCTGCACACCCTATACACCCTGCACACCTTGCACATCCTGCACACCCTGCACATCCTGCACATATTGCACATTCTGCACATCCTGCACACCCTGTACATCCTGCACATCCTGCACACCTGCACACCGTGAACACCCTGCACACCCTGCACAACCTGCACATCCTGCACCCGAATGCGTACAAACAAACTCACAGATTTTCTGCTTTATATATATAAAGATGTATACACATTAATGCTATTCATCAGTTGATTCGAAATTCTTACAATTAGTTTATTATCAAATGGAAATTATTATTATTATTGAAATAACACGAAAAGACATGCAAAGCAGTACTGTACATTTCCTAAGGTCCTAAAAAAACCATATAAATTAGATCAAAAATGCTTTCAAAGATCATTCTGAGGCCACAGTTGCAATTTGTTGTCGTGCTTGGCTCAAACATTTCTCATATCCGGATGTTTTTCGAACCATGCCGAGTTGGATCATACTATACATCATCTCGATCAAGGAGATATGGAGATTGGTATAAGTCATTCCAAGAAGCTCCCGGGACTGAAACACGTGTAGTCAGTTCTTCAAAATCTGATTTTTATTGATTTGATTGATTGCCAAATCTCTCACCTTGGTGTTATCAAACTGCAGTTCTGGTCCTAGTCGGTGTATTACGGCAGCAACATGTGGATCTATTCCCAAATAAGCGTATAGTTTCACTGCCCAATTCTGGACAACAGCTGGAGTTATGAGGTAACCTGCAAGAAGCGTTATAAGTCATAACAATTAGCTTTCTTTCAAAGCAGAACTGGTCCTGAAGCGATTTCACGAGATTGCGAAGTTATCATGGGCTCTCCTATATGATGATTATCCACATTTGGCAGAAAAGTGCTCTCTTTAGAGCAGGATGGTGTAAAAGATGCTATAAAGACATGCACACGGTTTTTATGTAGTCTCTCTAGCAAAGGTACGAAAATTTACTGAAATAAACAAGGCAACACATCGCAAGTGCTAGATCTGCAGGCGCACACTGCGGAACCTATCCCGCTTGTGCTGCATTTTTAAACTTCGGCCTGTTATTCGATATTATATGACCATCTAGTGAATGGTTTTTATATAACCTTTGATTCAACTGGCTTGGCTCGGGAAGGCGGAGCTCTGTGACCTAATTAAAGCCGCTAGCGCTCGCGACGCACCTGCTAGTGAGTATAGTACTGGATTGCAAAATTCCCGAAAAAATACTCTATTACGTCAAATTGATGAAAGCTTGATGTAGAAACATTTGATCACTCTTCTATTTATGAGCGAACATTGGTCCTCAGTCACTGGAATGTTTCTTCAAAGTTGAAAAATACATTTCTCCATTGAATAATTCTTTCTTACAATGTGAAACGAGAATTGGTCGCATTTGTCCTTATTTTTCGACAGACATTAGGAAGTAAAATTTAGTTTGTAGGACAGTGCGGTACAGCTACTTACAAAAACTTGTCCTATAAGGCCAGAGGAACTATTCCATAGCAGCAATGCTGTATAATTGGTTGCTTACCCATTTTACTAAACTCCTTCCGCAACCATGTTATCATATCCTTAAACCATATTGAACGTGCTGTGATCAAAATTCTTTCACCATCGCTTTCCTTTCGGGTTAAGGCCTCTGAATTTTACACTTTCAGAGTATTTAAGCAACAAATGATGTCTATAGGGAACTTACCAACATGTGCTTTTGCTACATCCCGGACATCTACCACTCCTAAGGACACTTTTGGACACGCCAAATATGTGCGGAAATCCATCATTCTGCCAATAATCTGCAAAAAAAGAATAAATAACAAATCAATATATTGACTTATTTTCGGCATCTTACCGTGGCGCTGCCATTTTCACAGTCTGATAGCATTGGACCAATGACAAATGTAGGGTTCAGCACGGTTAGTGCAAATCTGCTATTATCTGTAAACACCAATTTTTATCAACGAGAACTGGTCTTTTTTCAAAAAAAAGTTTTAGACATACGATCTAATGTGCTCCAAAAATTCCAAGCAGCTTTTTCAGCCAAAGTCTTGCTTTTTGCGTAGTTGTCGACATTCGGGTTGTCTAAGTTAGTCCAGCAAGTCTCATCGAACACTCTCTCATCATTTGGGTGGCCATCTAGACGAGACAAATTTTTTCTGAAGAGAGAACTGGTTCCCTATTTCAAGCTCACCGTTTACTGCTGCACAACTGCTTGTAAGCACTACTTTCTTTACGGAAGGTTCCATCGATGCTGCTCGTAGCACAAATAATGTCCCATCGATAGCTGTTTTGATAGTGTGTTCGTCAGCAACTATGGGCCAAGGAGAGGCGACGTGAAGTATGAACGTGCAATCCCTCACAGCTGCTGGCCAGTCTTCCTCATTCAGAAGATCTGCTTCAACAAGTCCCAAGCGTTCATTGGCGTGTGGTAGGCGGAGAAGGGGGGCTACCTGAAAAATTCCAATTTGTCCAGAAAATTTACAGCAAGCCAAATAATATAAGTTGAAAATTAGATGGAAGTTGAATGTTCGGTTGTCTTACCTTCCGCGCATTATTCATGCTTCTTACTGTTCCGCGAACCCTATAGCCGGCTGTCAATAGCTGAGCCACACAGTGTAGAGCTACATATCCTGAGGCACCGGTGACTAGTACCACTAGAATGAGCAAAGTTAGGCTTTTGGTTCCATTACCCAAGTTTGAGAATAGCCCTTTCATAAAGGAAGAACGATATGGGTGAGGTTAGTTTGACTTTCAATTTATCTATTGTATATAACGATCTTCCCTCACTACTGATGACTTCCGAGAAAGGTCGTAAATCTTTGTCCAATTTCCGTCTAGTGATAGGAAGGAAACGGAAATTAGAAATTTATTTGCTTCTGGTATTTAGCTAATTCAGAAAGGGGATCCAGCCTCTCTTTTTTCAAGTTTTGAAAGTGCCTGCATAAGTTATAAAATTATAATAATAATTCTTCGGATAATTTCCGTTACGTCGTTTCTTCTTCTTTTCGTTTTGAAAATTTCTCGAAGCCTCCAGAGAGTTTCAAGGTTACTTTATACCTAGAAAATGACACTACCCACCGGCATTAGCAGCAAGTTCAACCCATTGACACGATGTGGACCACCGGTGACCCACACACTTTTTGCCGCCAGGAATAATGTGGATCACCGCTGGCCCACACCTCTTGTAAAATCATATTCCTTCCAGGTCTAGTATGTTTTCAAACCAGTATTTTTTCCAGTTTTCTGCACTCTTGGAACCAGTAGACTCTGTCGTCCAAGAAAATGATTGTAGTTGTTTACAAAACAACTTTACATTTCGTAAATAATCACAAAACTTTCCAACACCGAAAATGTTGTGCATAATCGCGTCGTTCCACAGCGCCGCTACGAGAAATTAGGCGTCGTTGTCAGTGGGTCAAGGAGCTACAAACAATCCAAATTTGCTGCTTTTTCTACTACTCCATAGTATAGTTTTATATTTATTGTATACTCCTTTTGATATATTATATCATTAATAATGCTGATTATTCATTATTTTATTTTTTTTATTGTACATTTTAACATTCGAGATTTCTGAAAACTGAATTAGAAAGGTGTGACAGAAGTTATCCGACAACCTATTTTGGCACTGTCTCTCCTACGAATGCTATTTTATGTTTCTAGCATCTCAAGAATAAAGCTGAAGAACTTTCAAAAATTAAAAAATTTAGAAAATTCTTTTCTCTCGCAACTGATATCAAAAAATCAGAGAAATTTTTTAATCCTAAAATATTTGGTTATTCGCAGCAAAATATAACGGATTTTGTTGGCTAACCTACTATTTTCGCACGTAAATAACGGATCTTATCGAATTTTGTTTAAAAAACATAGCCCTGCGAATTTTCCTTGAAAAACTGATTGAAAGTTGATTTTATGATCAGCTTAGCGTGATTTTCTCGACTACCATTAGTTTAAAAAAACTCGGGTGAATGAGGGGAGGAGTAGATAAAGAAAGATGATTGTTATGCTTACCCTGTTTGCCTTTATCTTCTTCCATAGGTCGCAGATTCAGTGTTCCTGAGGGATATCTAAAAATCAATATGTAATTTTTCATGCAGAAAAATGATTTTAGGTGATACTGACGAATCTATACAGGTGAGCAGACGAATTGACAATCAGACAATTTTCATAATATTAGGTTGTACCAAAAGTAATTCTTTTTTTATATAAAACAAGCTGTTTTTGTTTTTCTAACAAAAATGGGTATCATTCGACAGAACAAGCTCTACAAAATGATTGCCAAAGATCCGCCTATGTCCTAATCCAGGCAAGGAACCAAAATCGAAAAAAAATTATGAGACTTTTGATTTATTGTATCTGATTTTTTTAAATCGGATTTTTGCGAAAATCAGATTCTACATTCTAACTCGGTAATTATACAACAGACACATGTAGTACTCAAATAGGCCTTTACTGATTTTTTCCGAGCATAGAAAGCGAAAAAAAAAGATGCTCTAACACTGCACACTTCGCCTCCAGCCCTTCCCTCAAATGTCATTGTATACCGCAAGCCTTAGCGAGTATAACCTCAAAATTTTACCTCTGTATGCGCCCTGCTAATTGAAAAATATAAAGTTTAACATCAAAAACTTGAAACTTGGACTTGAAGTAACCTTCTTGCATTTTCGGGTTATACCATTTCTCAATTTTGAGATCCAAAACAAATCCTTCAAATACATTTTCGATACTACTATGTATCTACTTTATAGTGACCAAGTTGGGTCTCGTAGGAATTTTCTGGAAAAAAATTCGATTTCTAAGGTAAATGGAAAGTTTTAATTTTGCCTTCAAATTTTACCCACATTAAGACTTAGGCTGACTTTTGGCAGCCATTTTGTAGTGCTTGCTTTGCTTTATCTAATGTTACCCTAAGTCTGCTAGGAAAACAAAAACAGCTTGATTTATTTAGGGAATTCACTATAGGGACAAGCTAGTGGTTGTAGGCTAATCACCAGGAGAATAACCACAATAGACCGATTTTAAGTTATATGTAATTTTACTGGGACTTTTGCTGTGCTTTTGGTTACTGAGATGTAATTGTTTCCGGCTTCGGCGACTTATTGTTAGTACTATAGTTTAATGCGTCAAAAATTCAACGAAAACAAAATAGTTCCAATTTTGTAATTTTACATGGTTAACTGTACATTTTGTAATGTTTCTCATAAATAAAGCGTTGTTTCATCAACAAATTCACGACAATACGACCCATCGGTGGGTCGCAAGTGTTCTGCCATTATGGACAATACGACTCACCGATGGCTCGTAAGTTTGACAAAGCGAAAAAGGCTCCGGTCCGAAACGGTAGTGATCAAAAGATCGACCTTGTCGTGAATGTGTTATTATGTTTATGAGCTGAAGTAGAAAAAAGCTGTCCTAGGCAAGATGTGGTAAACTTGGAGATTATAGATCATAGAAAGTGAAGTATGTGGTGTTATTCTGCTTTTAGAAGTAATGTCAAATCATGAAATTTATAAAAAAAAGTATAAAAATAACAGAGCGCTTATTTTTGAAAGATTTTTTAGCCCTTAATTTTGATTGATCAATTGCATAATCGAATATTTTTAAAGAAAATTACAATAACATTACGATTGTTGTGATACTAAAAATTCTGATAGTGACGGGAAGGCGCAGAAGAAAGGAATGAGACAGGTGGAAAACACGCAACTAGTTTTGTGTTTTGCTCATTTCATCTACATATCTGGAGGTGTTTCCATTACCATTACACTTTTTGTTTAGATGGAAAAATGAAGAAGATTTTGCATTTTTTTCTAGAGGAGAGTAAAAGTTCTCAAATTCGAGTTTTTTTCAAGAAGTAGGGGACCCTAGTACAATTTAAAACACGTGTAAGACCTCAAAAAATGAGTATTTTTCAGCTAACTGCACAAATTTAGAATGTAATGTTTTAAGCAAAAAAAAAACCTGCTTCTTTTCGAAAGAAGGCAGCATTTATATATGGACCTCGTCATGCCACGCCCCTTTACGAACAAGTTGGAGGCGAACCCGGGCAAAGTATTAGCAGGGTATCTATTTTGGCCTGTAGGCAATCATGGAAAATCCCTTGCGAGGGGCTAGAGTGATGCAGAAATACTTTTTGGGGGCGTGGCTTGCTCAAGGTCAATAGTACGGATTAGCATTTTTAGGCTTACACGACTTGTGTCAAAAGCCTCGGATACGTTACTCTCATACCCAGCAAACAGTCCCCTCTCCCCCCCCATTTTTGCAAACCATTTGAAAAACTTCTAAAAATTTCGCGCCCCAAGAATGGGTCGCGAAATTTTTAGAAGTTTTTCAAATGGTTTGCAAAAACATACAAGTGACGTTTATAGTTGTAAATACTTAAAATAATTTACGAAATTTTCAAAAATTCGTATTAGCCTTGTAAAAAAAATGTTTTCGGGAGCGTGACCGCTGCGCACCTTCATTCGAAAAAATTATTTGTATCTCCCCCCCCCCCCCTCTCGGACGGTTTTTCTGGGACCGGACCGCCACTGACACCGAATGATGACGAGGTTTTGCACAATATTTATAGCTTCGAATTAAGAAGTATCAGAGAATGTCATCATTTTTGCAAAGGTCTCAATCTGGAGATGAAATTTTTGAAAGTGCTGAAGATGGCTCTTTTTATCAGCGGATTAGGAAGCAACAAACCAAAGATTTCATCATCTTGTGTTGATAGGTAAAAAAGTGGGTAGAAGGCTTAGAAAATAAGTAAAAGACTAGGAAATTACCTACCAGCTTAAATGTAGATTAGTGATTTGAAGTTGAGTTCAAAAGTGAAAAGAGAAAACATATTTTTTCCCGAATTTTTTGAGGAAAAGGGATGTCTTTCAGGTAATACTAACGCTTCGCACTATATCGGACATTTGACGGCGGCTAAACAATCTCAGCGCTTTTTATAATTACCACCTTAAGGTTGAAAATTCGATTAAAATAAAAGTCAACTTCAGTGATAAAACTACCAGTTTGAAAATAGTAATTCTCACTAAATACTGAAAATTTCATGCTTCATAGGAGGAACAGAACATTTCTGTCAAAATTTCTGTGGTCTACGTTTGATATGAGACAACATCTCATCCACTATCAGCGGCAATCCGAGAAGTCTTTTTTAGCGGGGAGGGGTGGAGGAGAGAGTAGAGCGACAAAATTTTTTCAGTGGTGGGGGCATACCAAAAATTTTTCGTTGTGAAAGAAATGTTTTCAAGAGGCCAATTTTTATGTCAGTAATGTCAAAATTTTGATTGCCTAAAAGCGAAAACAAACTGTTTGCACATTTTCATCATTCAAATAGGTCACTTTCAAAGTTGGGGCTTATTCCCATAAGAAGATTCTCCTCACCACACATATAAAATAGTTACTGGTCTGTTTGACCTTACTATCTCAAAATAAATTCAAAATTTGAATGCTGAAGGTTAAAAAACCGTGAAAATGCAAATGATGACATTTTCCTGGATAGTTTCATAGTTTTTTTCTCCATAAGCCGTCAAACTCAGCAAATATTAACTTCAGATAGTTAGTAAGTTGGAAAACTTTTTCTGGTATTTTTGGAAGACTTGCACGTGCTCTAAGAACAATATCAACTCCGTGTAGTCAGTATATTCAAATCACTCGAAGAATTTTCTTGATCCACACCATTTCTGATTCTTTACTTCTCATAAAGAATAATTTTTCTCATAGTTTTTCTTAATCTCAGAAATTGATTTTTGTCCTATAAGTATAGATTTTTCGGACTCAAAAGCTTAGATTCCTTTCCTCATAGAGCTATTTATGAAAATTGGTATTTTTTCAGATTATTACATTCAAAAAGGAAGAACGAAATGGTTGAGGTTAGTTTGATTTTTGATTCAAATTATATTTAACGATCTTCCCTCACTACTGATGACTTCCGGGGAAAATCGTAATCTTTATCTAATTTTCGTCTAGTGGTAAGAAAGAAATGGAAATCGAAAATTATTTGTTTTTAGTATTGCAAGAATCTAAATTGAGGTGTGACCTCAGGAAAGATTGAATAAATCTCAGGAACTATCAACCTTCTTAGCCGGGCATGCTTCACGCGATTTCAGTCGCGACGCGAATTGGCAATTTGCCAGAAGTCTTCAGATTCAACACTAGCAAACTGCACATGCATAGTGTATATAACTTACGTGAATTGATAAAATGGCCTATCTTCTGTAAATTTAAAATGTGAGTTACATTTTACAGTGAGTTATGGACAGCTGGAACACTGCCAAATCGCGTCTCGACTGAAATCGCGTTAAGTATGCCCGGTACTTTAGGTATTCAATCTCCCATAGTAACTTAACCGAGGAATTTCGTGACTCATGGTCAATTTGCAAAATAACCATGCCCTTCAACCTGTCAAAAACCTCACCCATTCAATCGTAACCGCAGCGGTCATCGGGCCAGGCGCGCGACGCTTTGAACTCCAATCGGGCTAAACCACACAGGCGTTCGTTGCCATCAATAACTATTGTAGCCAGTCAGCTATTACGTAAAAAATCGCGGATAAGCGCTTAAGCGCTTGTTGTTTGGGGAAATATCGAGCAACAGGCTATACATGGTTGGTTTTGCACCAAAAAAACAGAGCGAACGATGTAACGATGGGGAATTGCGCAGAAAATGTGATATCTAGCCGTCGATTGAGTTGTTTACATAGAATAGCTGTACAAGCTCTGCAAATACGACGTGACGTACGACCTTGTATGGTCGTTGATCTGGCGCGGAATGACCGTAATGTCTTAAGAAGAAAACACACGACATAAACGGGAACGCAAAAGGGAAGACGTGATCTCTGGTGACCAAATAAACAGTTCGTCTGGAAGCCGTAAGGATGTGGTTTCGCGCGGAAAAGGCGCGAAGGCGAGAGAACTGCATAGGAATTCGAGTTTTGATTCGGGTTACACTTCCATTGCTATAAACGGAACGCGAAAGCAAATAAAGGAGTCTTATGGGCTTATAGTACAAAAATTTATTGTAGAATTTCGTAAATTCCATTCAAATGAGAAAAATAAACAGAACGAGGACATTATCTTGTGCAAAGAACGGACAAATGAGGTA